GATGGACTAGCATCCCATCCAGGGGGGAGTAGAAATACTCCTAGTCGCTTCATGCTACAGAAACCGGGATAAGCTCCGGCCTGATGGGCTACTTGGCTCACATGCAGACTTTACCTTACCTTACCTTGATTCAGAAAAGGCACGGCGAAAATAACGATGGAAATATTATTGGAAAGGACTTATAAAAAGTCTAGTCATCTTGCGGCTGCAAGGCGAGTGAAACTATGGTCGCTAAATGCGAACTCACCAGTTGACTAAACTCACTTAATAGGTCCGCTTAAACAATATTGCCAGGGAACATTTCACTTTAAAGATCTAATTGCAATATTTTTGGGCTTACAGAAGCTGTGGCCTTATTTGCTGACGAAGCCCGATTTTTTCAGATTTAGAGTGTTCTTAGCGCATGTTCTCTTCAAAACGAAGTCGGTGACCCCCATTTTTTTACATTTCTGACATAACAAAGTCATCATCTTACAGTGGTAAAAGTCTCAGAAAACAATCAATGTTGAAAATGTTCGCGCGAACGTCGTTAAAATATCTTGGCACAGCGCGTATTACACATGCTTCTCAATGTACAAAAAAATACCTAAACAGACGCAAATGTTTGCCTGGCGTTATTTCCCTCTCCACGGATTTTCAGGTTGCTGTGTGGCTCATTGTATTTGTTACAAATTGAAAGTTTATGTCCACCGTAAAACAAATTACAACGACGATGAATATTACAACCACTGAGCTTGCCATAAGTACAGCATCAGAAATAAAGATTTTTTTACGCTATACCATAGCATCTTAGTTTTCCCAGTGTGTGGTAACCTTGGTCACCGCCGCTTGCATCCCCAAACCTGAGCTGTTTAACTGGCAGACTTGTCTTGTCAGTGAGGAGACCGCTGTCTTCACGCCATACACGGTCATTCTTATCACAGTTACAACCATAACCGGTGTCTGCACATGAGTTGGTCATCCCGCATGCGCACTTACCACTGCCAGGAGATGCTCCACCCCAGTACGTCATCTTACTAGAATCACGTGACACCCACCAGGCATATATTCCGTACCCCAACATCACTGAATCATAACACTCATACTTGATAAACTGCTCACAGTGTGATGAGACTCTGGTGAGACTTACCAGCTGGGAGAGACTTGCTCCTGAGTAATGAATGTCGCGTGAGTAGCTACCACGACCGCTATACCCTCTCACGAGAGTTCTGCTTTCACTGTCATGACTCAAGACTGTCACCCCAACTCCATTCTTGTCACTCATGTCACAGTACACTGCAAATGATGCCAGGCCCTCTGAGCCATCGGGATCAATGACGTAATTACCGCTTATACTGCTGACGTATTTTCTTATCACCGAACAGGAAGTCGCAGGAACTGGAGAATTGATTTTGACTTTGGCTTCTATTGACGTCAGAGCATTAGTCGCTCTGCAGGTGTAAGATCCTTCATGTGATTTTCTGATATTCCTTATAAGCAATGTTCCATTCAGAAGAACATTGATCCCTACAGGGAGTGAAGACTTGCCATCCTTGGTCCAAGCTATTATTGTTCTCAGGTCACTCTCGGCCACACACGGTAAATAAACACTTGAACCAGACACAGACGACGTTACTTCAAGAGGGGGGCGAACTTTAAACCGCAAACGGGAGAATATAATGAGCTGAGCCTTGCCCATTGCTGACCCCAGAATATTCTCTGCCTTGCAAATGTATGTTCCACCATCACCTCGTGTCACATTGTTGATTGTCAGGGTTCCATTCTTCACTTCAGTTCGGCCTTCAGGCAAGCCACCAACTGCTTTAGACCACGTGATACTGGGAAGCGGCTGACCAGTGACAGTGCAGGCAATGATTATGTTTTGTTTCTCTTCAGCCATCACTCGATTGGATGACAATGAAAGTTGGGGAGTAACTGTCGAGAATGAGAGCAGTTATTATTATTTGGCCAAAATACCTTTTTACGTTCTATTTTACCTCAACTTACACTGAACTTTTAATTTCGCCGAAGCACTCTCTTGTCCCAGCAAATTCTCTGCTCTACAGCTATAAACTCCGTCGTCCCCAGGTCTGACGCCCTTCACGATCAGAGCGCCACTGGCCTCTATCACATGACGACCCACAGGTAGCGATGAATTCAGCTTAGACCACGTGACCTTTGGACTTGGATAACCATCCACTGTACATTTCAAGATAGCTGTCTGACTTTCATTGACTGTCATTCCAACAGGACCCTGGAGCAAAGAGGGAGCCGAGATGGACTGGCCCGGGTCACCTTTGTCACCTTTCATACCCGGCGGGCCTCTAGGTCCCACGGGACCGGGGTCTCCCGGAATTCCAACGTCCCCCTTTATGCCCATGGGTCCTTGACTCCCTATTGGTCCATGTTTACCAGGAGGTCCGTTTGAGCCGGGTCTCCCCGGGGAACCTGGTCTCCCTCGGGTTCCCGGTCTTCCTCGTCTTCCCGTGTTCCCTTTTGGTCCTGCACGGCAGAGCGTGTGATCTTTAGCACAAACTTGGTTTTGCAGCAGACCAAGTTCTTGTTTGATCAATACTTGTACTTCAGAGGCTGTTAGGGTCGATTTCTGTAGTGAATCATCGAGTGAAGAGCGTTTTATTCTTGACAGCGTTTCCTGTTCACCTGTAAAATTAAAATCGTGCACTCTAAGCCATTTGGTATTCAACAGTTTCTGTGATGCAATAATTAGACAAGCTAGTAAAAAAAAGGGATTTCCGTTTCTCTTAGATTGACGGTTTCAGCAACTTACCGTTAGCCTCGTCGAGTATTTATTTTCATTGGGAAAAGAACGGCATATCCCGTTTATTTTTTTTTTCCCTAAACATTCCGTGTCTAGAAACAGCCGCTGATAGGGCCTCTCAATCTTGGGCCTCTCCGGTTACAAAAGAAATACAGATGCTGGGCGAAGACGACGCGCATCACAATAATTCAGAACTGAGGTTTATTATTAACCGCGCGGCCATGGGCTGAGCGCGGTTTATGGTTTACCCGTGGTTTTTTAACCGCGCGGCCATGGGCCGAGCGCGGTTCATGGTTTACCCGTGGTTTT